GGTGCGTACGACTCACAGGTGTTCGCCTCTGCGCGTATACCTGTGAGATTGAGTCTGGCCGTTCCGAGTCTAGTCTTCCATACCCTTTTCATTTTCCCTCATTATCTCTTTCACCGAATTTCTAAGGGTTTGGACGTAACAATATAATTACTCAATTTTTTATCGAGATATTACAATAATACGTCAATATAACTATACTGTTGCAATTAAACAATACTTTATTTTGTAAAACATAAATATACATACATAATGGAATGCACTTCTATTGAAATTGCTACCCTCATACATTACGCTTATTATAATTAAATACTAAAGGTTAGAATAATTTATTATACTTAAATAATTAAATTCACATAATAGAAAAAAAATGCTAATTAAAATGAATCCTCTATATACAGGGTGGGCCATCTATTGGTACGTTTTTGAATTTCGTCGTATGGCAACACCGAACGAGCTACAGACCCGAAATTTTGACAGTTTATTAGTCATACCGTCCGCGGCACGAAACAACATGTTTTCTCTTGAAGAGCGTTTTGAAATTTTAAAAACTTATTTTCAAAGTCAGTGCTGTGTCGCCGAAACTGTACGAATTTTGAAAAGAAATATGGGTCGTGATAGAGCACCCACCGAAGGAGCTATACGCAAATTGGTGAGGAAAGTTCGTGAGAAAGGGATGTTAGTGGATGACATTATATTACGACTGTTTTGAGTGAAATTGGCGCCGAGGTAGTCCAAAATGTCATTAATAATTGGGGTGACCGAATGGCATACTGTAAGGCCAGTAGAGGGAGCCACATGAACGAAATCGTTTTTCATTCTTGACGCGGATACTTTTAGCTTCACAACAAAAAAAAAATTAATAAAAAATATCAATGTATGCTCATTTGATCGCATTTTTAAAAACGTACCAATAGAGGCCCCACCCTGTAGTTACAGCTGACTCGTCTATATATGTTGTATACTCATCGACTAAAAGATTGCAACATTTTTCGTTTAATGGGTTTTGCAGGCTGCTCATCAAGCAATTGGTTTTCAATTGTATCAAATAAAAATTAATCGCTCGGTGAGGCTGCATAGACTGCATTTCGAAAATCATAGAAAAAAAACTATTACAACCTTTCAATTGGTGAGTATATACAAATGCATACATATACACACATTTGCCATAAATTTTATTTTGGAAAAAAATTGTCTGTTTTCATATAAAAAAAACTGGAAAGTTTGTTGTCTCTGAAGATAGGCTTCGTTTGCGCGTAACAATATGTGTATTACCTGCTGATGAAAAAGCTCTTTCCGAACCTGCAGATGTTGCTCATATGATCAAATAATTTTTTCGTAAGTTCTGTTAGTGCCGGACATTTTTTTATTCGCATCTTTTACCATTCGAGGGGTGATTCATTATGATTAACTATTGTCTTCATTAAAAAACGATCCAATTGTTTTTGCCAACTTGTTCCCACATTTAAATTTTCTTTTTGAAAAATGAAGTCTAAAGCAGTTATAATTTTCTGCGAATTTTCTTCGGGTGCATCGACTGAAGCTAATGTCGGTAATAGATATTTTCTATTTTAATTCAATAACAAAAAGTTGTAAAAACATTTAAAAGAAAAACAATTGTAAGGAAAACTTTAAGCTTTTATGATACATAGTCGAAAATGTTTGCAAATTGTTTTTGTGCACATAAAACAGATTTGCAAAGTAAGAAAATAATTTACCACTTTGTGCAGCTTGTAATTTTTTTTATATGCAAAAATTATCAAGCTCATAAAAAACTAAAATAATATAATAACTTTTCGAAAGTAGAAACTTCAAACATTAAAACTCGTTTTTTAAATTTAAATTTCACTCATTTTTTGACGAAGATGCATATACAATTTTGAGCTTAAAAAATAACATTACTTTTCTTCCAATTCAATATTAAAAAATATATACAATATATATTTACAATCTAAAGAAGTATTAGATAAGAAAAAAATCCTACCTGTAATTTTTCCTTAATAAAATCTTTTATTTTTATTTTTTCGACTTCGCATAATTCGGCTATCAATTCCTTGTGGCGAGGATCGAGAAAACTTACGACTTGATGTATGCTAACTTTTTAATTATTCGCTGGTATCATATCGAAGCGCCTAATAAGAGATTGACGAAGTATACATTTCAACGTGCAAACGAGATTTCCATCCAAAATATCTTCTGCCAGATGATTGTCTATGATGTCACATACTACTGGACGAACCAAAGATACCGTAATTTCAGATGAGGAGCAAAATACGATGGTTATAGGTTGCGAAGGTTTCAAAAGTAATTCATTCACTAATTCATTTATAATCGATTATTCGTTCGCGGTCATTTCTAAATTTCGTGCTTGCGCTGATTTTATCAGGGAAGTATTATTCAAGACTGCCAAAATAGGAATTCTGTTTTTGTATAACCATTCACACATGTAATATGTTGAATTCCATTTTGTGGGACAACTTTGAACAATGCTTCTTCCGGAAAATTAAGTTTTATTTAAGTTTTATGTAGCTCTTGTGTTGCCCGTGCTTAAAGTGTCTTTCAATTTTTCTTGCTTTTTGTATGATAAATGTAGATGCTCCAAATGCAATGCATCATTTACGGCTAGTTATAAAGTACGTGCATAATGGTAATATGTTCCCTTGAACTTTGTAACATTTTTTTCCGCGATTATCATATTAGATGCATTATCGTGTACTAATGTAAAAATTTGGTTTTCTATATCCCAATCAGAAAATACCCTTAAATAAAATAATAAAATACCATTAAATAAAATACCATTAAAGAAAATAAGAAAATACCATTAAATAAAATAATAATAATTTCCAAATCCACAGCTATAATATATTTTTAGCGGTATGTCGTTCTTCTAATCCGATCGTGCATAAAGTATAATGCTTTAGTTCCCATTTTTCTTTACCGATATAGTGCGCCGTAACTGATAAGAATGCATCTTGTGAAAGAGATGTCCAAATATTCGTCGAGCATGATATACTTGCATCTTGACGTCGCATCTCATGCTATATGATTTTTACTTCATCGTAAATTAATTATAGTCGCGAAAGAATTGTTTTTGTTGCAGGGACCACATAGCTAGATTCTATTATTGCCATGTATTGGCGATAGCCTTTGCTTTCAACAAAAGATAGCGGTAATTGATTTATTACAATTAAACGGGCGAACGCTTGAGATATTTTTTGTTGGCAATCTACATTACATACTCTATCAGCCTTTCATTTTCTTTTGGGCGGTTGTCTTGTATTATCTGTTAGCAGTATAAGGAAATTGTTAGTATTCCAGCTATTCATTGCATTTTAAGACTGAAAAAGATTTCGGCATTCGAACAGACGGTTAATAGTAAAAATCAAAATCAAAATTTTTATTAGGCAATAAGATTTTTAATATTATACATCATCTTACTTATGTTTGAAGTGTTCGAAGATGACGAATGGAGCTGTCAGTAATTAAATTTCTTACATCCTGTATATTTTCTGTATTCCCTTCATCATTCGATAAATCATCTCTGACGACGAAAATAAAATATAATGTAATAAAGTAGAATTATTTGTGACATAAAATCGTATAACATGTATTATGTATATTTTATTTAAAATTATCAATATATGTTATAACAATCATAGAAAAATATAAAAGTATTGAAATATGACGTTATTTTTTTGTAAATAATGCTACAATTTGAATTATTTATTGTGACATAAAATTTTATCATATAATTTAAACTGTTTGAAAGTTGCTTAAAAATACAAAATATAAATAATAGGAAGCACAACACAATACAGCCACAACATTAGATGTTTTAAACGGAAGTCATATATTTAAAATTATAATATAATAACGTAGACGTTTCGGTCAAGATTTGATCATCATCAGTACATAACAATATCAAGATGTTAAACAAAGAAATACATAAAATTAAACAATGAAAGCTAGTCAAAAAAGATAAAAAACAATTTTACAATCGCTATGGTACGAGTTAACAGAGTAAGTCGGAGTCCAGAAATTGAAGTTGAATAATATTCAATCGCTTATGAAGTATTTTCTATTACGTTTAGGATTCCTTATTACAAGAAGTAAAGTACGACTTCGTGTAAAAAAATGGAATTTCTAGATTCTATTTAAATTAAGAAAGAAAATACATTTTTCAACAATATTATTTTACAATACATTATTGGTGAGAATCAGTTAAGTTTCATAGTAATACAAGTAATTGCTTACCACGTATTTTGTGACGCAAATCCTCGCAAGTGTAATTCGGAGTTAATAGTATAAATTAAAGGCAAAAATTAGGAAAAATTATTGCTAACAAAAATGTGATGGCCCGTAGCTAGCGACAGTCTTTATACATTGTTAAAGAAAAAGGAGAAGAAATGAGAGTGGAGAAGGTTATTCTATTGGTGAATAGAGGGGCTTTTTTCAATGATTGGTAGATAAATTTCAGGAAAGTTCTGTGTCACTCTGCTTATTTAACCCATTTCTTGTCTTTTGATATGTATCATCTCGGAGACCATACTTTTATAATAAGATTGTTCGGAGTCAAGAATGATAGTATTATTTCAATCAATCATATGGTCATGATCTAGTTTGTGACGAGAAATAACAGATAAAGTATTCGTTGGTTTTTTGAAATCATTTGTATGTTCTTTTAAACGTGTCTTCAGTTTTCTTTTTGTGTGTCCTACATATGAATACTTGCAATCGAGACAATTTATTTTATATACTTCATTTGAGTGATTTTTTTGTTTAATTTTATCTTTGTCTATTTTAATGAAGGTATTCATACAATTCATTGAACAATATTGAAGTCAAATTTTTTGTGATAGATTTAAATTTTTCAGATATTTTATTAAAATAAAGAATGGTGAAATATTTTTTAGAAATTTTAGTGGAATCCAAGCTGACATCTTTGTGTTCATTAATATTTTCGAAATTATTTTTAAAAGACAACGCTTTTTTCTATTGTTAACAGTTGCGAATAAAAATTCCGATGGGTATCCATTTTTTTGAAGAATATTAATTAAGGAAATAATATTTTTCTCATGAGAAAGGGGAATAAGATTCTGTCTAACAGTCCGATTACAACATCCCTTTTGTGTTTGCACTTTGCTTCTTGTAATAAGGAATCCTAAACGTAATAAAAAATATTTCATAAGCGATTGAATATTATTTCAATTTCTGGACTTCAACTTACTCTGTCAACTCGTACCATAGCGATTGTAAAATTGTTTTACCATCTTTTTTGACTAATTTTCATCGTTTAATTTTATGTATTTCTTTAACATCTTGATATTGTTATGTACTGATAGTCAAATCTTGACCGAAACGTCTACGTTATTATATTATGATGTTAAATATATGATTTCCATTTAAAATATCTAGTGTTGTGGTTATATGCTCCCTATTATTTATATTCTGTTGTTAACAGTTGCGAATAAAAATTCCAATGGGTATCCATTTTTTTTAAGAATATTAATTAAGGAAATAATATTTTATATCAAAGTAATGATTAAAAAAAATATGTAAAATCTTTAAATTATGTCAATTATATTATAAACAAAAAATACATTCTAAAAAATATATAAAAATAAGAGTATTTAATTGAAATGTGCGTTACTACAGTGAGCAGTAATTTTTTGTTGAAATGCTAATGTTGTATAACTATTTTTAAACAATGAAAGTGATCCTATAATACTTTTAATTCTTCTTAAAAATAATCTTTGATTTCTTTTAGCTAATAAAACCATAATATTTTTATTTTTTAGTTAAATAAAAATAAAATCCAAATGCTAAATCTTTATATCTATTCCGAATCTATCAAAGTAATAGTAACTCAAGTAGTATATTTATATTTATTAAAAAATAATCAGTATGTGATATCACATTTAATCTCCTTAGGTTTAGAATCTGTGTAACATTTGCAAAGTTATAAGGGAACTACCATTCAATATTTATAATGACTTTTTTAAATCATAGCAAATTGCTTTTAATAAGAACTATAATAAAAAACATAATAGGATTTTTAAGAAATAATATTGGCTGGAAAAAAGATAAAATACAAATAATAAAAATAAAGTCACATAAATCATCTACTAT